CACTGCCTGTTAATGAACTAATCTATGCTTACGTGGGTTGTTCTTAAAAAAGTGGCCACAAGCATCATACCAAAGGAAAAAATGGCCAGCATTCATATAGGTGTCCCACTATTAAGATACGGGTTCTTTTTCTCAACCCAACTATTTTTAATATGGAAGTAATGCACTCTTGACAATCTTTGTCACATATGGGACATACCAAACAGGTAACAAAATGTGGTGCTCACAACCACTATTTTTATGTTCATATCTTTGAATTGCAGTTTGAGTCTCCGATTCTGCCTTTGCGATTATAAACCAAAAGCTCTAGATCATAAACGGCTATTCTTTTTATAAGACCTGAAGACTGCAAATACCATAAAAAGAAAAAAAGCTTTTTATTAATAAACCAATTTGAAAGCATTTTCATTCTGGTACTCAAATTTGCCATTTTATCACATAAATCTCCCTAAAAATGTTTAAGTAAAACAATCATTAAGTTTGGCACTAATATTGCAAAATCAAAATATACATGCAATTCAATTTATTTCATAAAAATGATCAGCTGATTTCGTCTTTTAGTTAAACTGCCTTATTGGCCATAGAAAACCTTGTCAATAAAAGACAAATTTACAGTTTGGCAATTACAGGGTGAACAAATGTGACAGAATCACAGTTACAGCAATGAAATGAACAAACACAGGTGATCAGAATATACAACAAGGCAGCAAAGCTGTCAAATGTACAGACAAAAAGCAGGAAATAACTATGCACAAAATAGGCTACTGTCAATTCTGATGCAAAAGTACATTATGTTTAACTGCAAATTCAACATCAAATTTTAATAATGCTCAACAGGTAATACCAATGTAAGTAAAATGTGTAACAAGCATAAGGCTTCAGGCCCATGGGAGTTCAAGTTTGCACTTTGAAAATGTATAACTTCCAGAAAAAGAAGCCAATTAGACCGTTTTTCCAACTTGGGCTGCATTTTTAGTCCTGTATTTCTTTTTTGAAAGTTTGGCAATCATAAGTAACAATCGTATAACTTCGTATAATGTATGCTATACGAAGTTATGC